AAATATTCATATTATTCTGACATCTCAGTTGTTCTGTTATTTGGGGTTGAGTATTGAGACATGAGACCATGACCAAATACCCACCCCTACAGGAGAAGAGCCAGGGACAGTGTGTCCACGCTTCACAGTGAGTGAGTGTGTGTGTGTGAGAGAGTGTGTGTGTGTGTGTGTGCACGCATGTGTGTGAGAGAGAGACAGAGAGGGAATCTGAGTGTTGGGGAGAGGAGGTCAACACCATGGCCAGGCACAACGGGGCCAGTGTAAACGAACCCAAGAAAGAAGGGTGAGATAAGCTATGAGCCAAGAGATGAAGCAGTAACCTGGGAAGACCAGACTTAGGGACACCTGGACAGGGACCGAAGCTGCGGGCTGAACAGAGCCCACAGGGACAAGGGGCCGTGAGGCCGAGCAGGAGGTGTGCAGCCGGAAGTAAGGCTGTGGTGAACCGGGGAGGAATTTGCCAGATGCTGGGTTTGGGATCTGGAATTCCTTTCATAAGCTGCGCCGCAGCTGGGAGCAGGGCGTGTGGGCCAGGCACAGGCAGCTGACCCCTCCCGCGTCTTCCCCTCCTGAGCAGTGACTGCCCTCCACCTTGGGGTTCAGTCTGTGCTGAGCACTCACACACCTGGGTTCTAGACTGAGCCCCCCACAGACAATCTATGTGATTTCAACATGGGCCTACTCTCTTAGTTTTTTCATAAAAATTAAGTTATTCCCGGTGGTATGCAACTCACAGGATGATGTGAGGGTAATATTAAATTATACAGGTCAAAGAAGCACTCTAAATCTATACTCTGACATTGGTTCTATTGTGGCCCAAATAACTTTAGATAAGTTCAGGTACTTCTCTACAGTAATAATAATAGCTCTAATACTAACCTTGACAAAGAACTTACTGTGTTATTGTAACTTAATATTTGTGAGATTCTTACAGTAACCATTACAACGACCACCTGTGGGATGGGTACTATTATTGTCCCCATCTTAAGCCAAAGCACAGAGATATTAAGTAACTTGTCCAAGCCACGCAGTAAGCGGTAGACCTGGGTATAAGCCGCGGGTCTCGCTTCAGAGTCTGTTGTTCTTAAGCACCATTCGACCGCGCCTGGTGCTCAAAGATAAGAGAAACCATAACCCAAGTTCCCAGGGGCCAGTAGCACAAGCATTGCATAAACATATTTAACTGTGAGTAAAACCCAAACAGAAAACTCTAGATTTGCAAAGCAGATAAAATGGGTGGAGTGGGATTGGGGTGAATAATCATTCAACATATGCCAAAAAGCAAAAAATTCAAGACAAAACAAACATCACAAAAGAACTTGAGGTAGAACCCCACTGGCTAGCAAGCATCCTAATATGTTTAAAATAGGATTCAATTTATAAGAAAAAGTGAATACTCACCTTTTTAGAAGGTCAATTGTTCCTTGAGTCTAGGTCTCCCTTTATTACAAATATGAAGTAGAAACTTAAGGAGACAGACTCTCCAAGTCTGTGCGTTAGATTGTTAATGAAATGAGTCATGCATTTGTGTAGTCACACCTTGCACAGTGACCCCTCACATTGGTTCTGCATTTGCTATGTGACTTGCTTTGGCCATGGGACAGCAACACACATGATACCACTAGGGCTTAAAAAGTGCCTGCATACTGGGGCTTTGTTCTTGGAACATTCCCCCTAAGTGGAGAGGCCTGAGCTAGCCTGCTGGAGACATTTAGTTCAGCCAACAGCCAGTACTAGTTCCAGACATTCGAACGAGGCCCAGCCGAATGTCAAGACAACTGTGGCCGGGTACGTGAGTGACCCAAGGCAAGACTAGCAGAAGAACCGTCATCTGAGTTGAGCTCAAAGAGCTGACCCATAGTATTGTAAACCAATGAAATGTTGTTTTTTAAGCCACTCACTTCTGGGGCGGATTATTATGCAGCAAAGCTAACTGATAGAGCCCAAGTCTAAGACGTGTCACGGAGTAGGAATTGCAATATGGAATTGTGACATTGTTGGACAGCCCGAGGCATTTTCACAAGTAGGTAGGAAAGTCAATTAGCCAAAAAGGTGGAGTCAGAATCATATATCATTACTGTTGCTTTTACCTGCTTTTCATTCTTTGACTTCTGGGTCAAGTATAAGGGGAAAGTAAGCCAATTTCCACGATCACACGGATAGCCTGGAGGAGACAGAAGCGCCGTGCTGCATCCCGAGAGCACCAGCCCTGATCTCTTGTATCTACTGATAACGAAGCACATACAACAGCACTGCGACAGCACTGCGCCTGACAGCTACACGCTGCCTCCTGCCTCGGCCCCTCCAGGCCGTGATCATCCCCCCCCCCCCAGCATTACTGCTACAGATGGAGACGTTGAGGCATGGAGCAGGGAATGAAGTCAACCAAAGACAAAGAAAATCAGCATTACAGAGCCAAGAGGCCTGCTAATCTCTAGTAACAGCAGTACTGAGAATAAAACCAGCATCCAATTCAACTTATTCCTGTACAAATGACAAACAGAGGCTCTCAGAGGATGACCTGTCTAAGGTCACAAAGCGAAGCATGATTAAGCTGACTCATGAACACACATTCATGAACCCGAATACTCTCCAGTGAGAGGGGACACAGGATGTGGGCATTGTGGCCCAAGGGAGAAACCGTATCATCCAAATTCTAGTCTAATAATCCTTCTATTCTTGACTGATTTGAGAATATTGCCCCCTAAGCGAGCCAAGGGAGCCATAAGATACACTGACTATAACATGTTTTCAAATGATGACTGGGAAACTCAGTTGACCAAAGGGTGGAAATGGGAAAATCCATCAACATTTCATATGACAAAGACGTATTTACCTCTAGGCCTTCTCCCTCTATTAAAGTGCCAATTAATAATGACCACGCCTTTGCGACAGCATGGATGGACTGGAGAGCATTATGCTAAGTGAAATAGGCCAGTCAGAGAAGGACAAGAACCATATGATCTCACTCATATGTGGAATCTAATGAGCAAACTGAACGAACAAGCAAAATGGAGACAGACTCACAGACAGAGAGCAGGCGGGCAGCGCTGGCGTGTGTGCAGGGTATTGGGGGTGCGTGGAGGTATCGAACATAAAAGAAAAAAAAGAGAAAGAACTCTTAGAGAGTTCTCACCACAAAGGACAGTGTGGTGGCTGGGAAGGGGAGAGGGTAATGGAAGTGAAAGGGGGTATATAGTGGATAAATGGTGATGAAAAAAATAAATTAAATAAAGGGAAAAAAAATAATGACCACAAGTAGCATATTTTACAGAATAAAGAAAGTATAGTCCTACTGGTGTGGCTCAGTGGTTGAGCGTCGACCCATGCACCAAGAGGTCGCCAGTTCAATTCCTGGCCAGGACACATGCCCAGGTTGTGGGCCTGACCCCCAGTGGGGGGCATACAAGAGGCGGCCAATTGATGTTCTCTCTCATCTATGCTTCTATCTCTTTCTCCCTAAAATCAATAAAGAAAAAAAATTTTTTTAAATAAAGAAAGTATAAACTCATGACTTGAAGTGTAAACAGTGGCTAATAAATACAAATCATTCTTAAATGCTGACATCAGAATATAGATTAAACTTAACATGTGTATCTGGTTTTATATCATACTCTAGGGGAAAATACCCTGATCATGCTTCTATTCTTAGCTTACCTGTTCACAGGTGATCATGAACGAGAGATTAAACCACTCCAGGTCTCAAATATTCCATCAGTGAAACAAGATGATTAGACTTCGAGTCTGAAGCAACACAGGAGAACAGAAAGAACTTTGGATACAGCTACAGTTGAGATTGAATTTGGGACCTAGCGTCTTGTTAAAGGTCTGGCTGCGGGTCTCTACTTCATCTCTTCCCCCATCTAGGCAACAGGGGTAACTACACCCTGCTCACAGGGTTGGATAAGAAGGAAAGAACAGGGTAGGCAAAAGTAGGTTTAGAGTCATTTGTATGGAAAATATAGCATTAAATAACAATCCACAAATAAACTCTGTGTTTCGAGGACTCACCACTGTAAACCTGCTCTTGCCCCGAACCTGAAATATGTCTGAAGTTGCTCAGCGCAGGGCTTGATTCAGAGCAATGCTCAGTAAAGAACAGCTGATGATGATTCATTCACTTACCCTACAAACATTTACCGAACCTCAGCTCCGTGCCAGGCGTTCTTCTAAACGTGGACTGGAGTTCACAGCACTGACAGAAGTCCCTGCCTCGCTGAGCTGGCATGAGGGGGGGGGCAGCACCCCTCCCGACAGCTCCCCGTCGGAGGAGCTGGTGCCTCAGACCTCAGCAAGGTTCCGACCCCACCTCAGCCTCGCTGTGGAGTCCGGGCAGGTCCCTGAGTCTCACCTGAGGCTGGCTGGGCCCTCGCTGACCCAAGAAGAGTCCCCTACTGGACAGGCTCTCCTAGGCCTTTCTCATCACCCTCCGACTGTAAACACCACGGAAGACGGAGTCGGCCTGGGCTTCACACCTACCATCCACCTTAGCCTCTTCCCGGCTCCTTCACCAGAAACGCTGCCCAGGCCTGCACCAGGGCCTTCCAGAAACCTCTGCGAAGGCCAAGTTTGCTCAGTAACATTACCCTCCGCTTCCCACCAGAGGTCGCCCTCCCACACAAGCCCAAGCAAACAGAACCCGGATTCGCCTTCTCGGCGGCAGTGACATTATTTTCTTTCTCTATTTTTATCTATTAAAAAGATTTCTTCACAGCCATAACTTAGATCTCTACACTAAAATGGAGCAACAGGAAGATATAATGGTGCATTTCATTTATGAATGACCTATAATAAATTACTCTGAGGTGTCCCGACTGCCAGGAGACGGAACGCTTTGTCTGCCCATGGACTGTATTTCACATACTTTAATTTAGTTGACACATAAAACTCATTTGACATTTTGCAGGTATTTGTGTGGGGCAGGGGAGGAGAGCTGGCGAGCTGGAGGGGACCACTGCGGGGCTGGCGGGAGTGGGGGCCGTGGGCAGAGCCAAGGATATTTGGTTCTTGTTGAGGGTTAAGGTATGGAGCCTGGGTAACCCTGGCAACATGAGGTCGTTCCCGAGCAGATTGTTGTCCAAGATGAGTTCCTCCAGGCTCCTGAACGCGCTCAGTCCTTCCAGTGACCTGCAATGACAAAGGCAACAGGAAAAATGATCCCGCACTAAATCAGGGAGGCCATCATGAGCTGAAATAAATATTTTAACCTTCCCTTTCAGGACTGGGAATAGTTTGGGCTTGGTGCCTGTCAGCAAAGTGAATGACAAGAATTAGTAGCGGGAGCGGGGCGGGGCGGGGGAGAGGGCCACTGGCACTCACGGCATCCTTCACGCATTGCCAGCATGAAGGATGAGGGTCACTTAGTGAGTAGCCAGGATCCAAAACAAAGGCCTTCAGATACGGCCTGCAGGATAAATTTGTCAATGTCTTGTGCCTTCAGGCACCCAGCCTCGGCTGACCCTAACCTCCATTCCCAAGATAAATAACTCTGTCACAGTTCACCTTCATTCCCTGGACACAAATTTAAGTTGTCATCCATCATTCCTGCCCAGAAATATCATACCCTCTTACAATAATAAATATAACTTCAAGTATCATTTCTTAGCGGTTCTCCTCTGCACAGTTGTAGGAAACAGCAAGGGAGGCACCTTTCTCTTCGTTCACTGCCTTTGACTGTTTTTTCTCTGCTTTTTTCTTCACTAATCACTTAATTTGCTGCTGCCCGGTGTCCCTGCGGCTGCCCCACAGGCCCTGCATTGGAGGAGCACATAATCACTCCAGTGTGAGAGGCTGCTTCTTTTTCTTTTTGTTCGGGGCGGGTAGGGGAGGCCGGGAAGGGGTTGGGGGAATTTCTGTTTCAATGCTCCTGGCTTGAAGTTACTGTTTTAATTTATGGAAAGTGGATTTCTCACTTTATTTCTGAAAGAAGTGTGGAACGCAGTGCATAGATGTCGAGGCGGTAAATAAACAGCATCTGAAGGAATTAAGTACCCAGCTCATGGAAAAAAAGTATCGGAAAAGGAAAAACAGCCTTGCTTATACACTTAGCTGAAAGTTAGCTCTTGATGTGGGTTCCGGGGTGTTGGGTGGAGGCGGCGAGGGGCAGTTGTGCGCCCGTGCTGGCTCTGGCGCTCAGACGTCAATTAAAGACAGCCACCCGGTGGGGGGACTTCCAGGGACACACACACTCCCAGCCCGGCACCTGCCAGACCCGAGCCGTGCTGAGCTTGCACAGGCTGACAGCTGATCTGCAACGCCAACCAGAGGGCAGACGCGCAGGGGATCTCCTGGCTACTCCATGAAACGTGGCGAATCAGGGAGATGTCCGCGCTGCTTATTCATCTACTGAGAGCACGCACGTTGCAGACCCGCCTGCTTGCGTGTGCAATGCTTGTACATCTGGTGCGGTCGAGAACTTCGGCAGAGTGTTTTCAAGGCCTCAATATCTCCCTGCAGGACCTCTGCCAAGAGGACTCCAAAACCGAGTCAGTACTTGGAAGGTGTAGCATGCATTGCAAATAAGTAATTAAAGCCCAGACTCCACTGGCCCAGAGCTCCACCAGCAGGTCCCTCTTCCGCCTGACCCTCAGGTGGACCCACTCAGGGCCCAGCACCCAGACCACGTGCCCTCCTGCAGCCAACACCACCTGTGCCAGAGCAGGAGGGCCAGGCCAAATTTTGGGTTAAGGGTCAGTGGGGTCATCATGTTTCATTTCTTCCTCTTCCTCTCTCACGGTCCTCACGTTTCAGAGAGGAATACACAACTTCCACACCTGTAGTCAGGAAGCTCTGGAATCTTCCACCAGCTCCACGCTTTACTTGCAGTGTGACTTGGGCCCCATCACTAGCCCACCTGAACAGCCTTGTTCTGTGTCCATTCCAGCTCAGAGTAGCTTATGAAGAATAAGTGAAAGAAGATTAAGAAGTTACATTTCTTTCTTTTTTCTTCCTCCTTTCACTCTGGTTTTTCTGGAGGCGCTGACTGGGCCAGGTGGGGCAGGCTGTTTGACGGCAGAGGGCGGGCGGGTAAACAAGGCGCACAGGTGCGCCAGCCTGGCTGCTGCAGGGAGACCCACCTTTCCCCAAGCCCCTTTCTCCACGGAGGTCACGAGTGACGAGCCACAAGTGCTTTCCAGAGTGAGGCTCTGTTGGCCACGGGGAGCTGAGGCCTAGCAGCAGGGCCTCTGATGGACGGCTACTCAGTCGTCTGTGCGCCGGCATCAGTCCTCGGTCTTGGTCAGAGGCAGCATCCAAACAGGTGCTGTTCCGAGTTGTGTAATGCAAATATAATACTCATATCATGAGAATCAGCAAACAGTTGGCAACTGGCAAGCAGAAGGAAGCTCCCTTCCAAAAGTGCTTCAGGGGAGGCATAAAACAAACGACATAGCATGAGAAGGGACAAAGCCGGGAACACTAGAGGGAGTGCCCACAGAGACCGCCTTCCTCTCCGGACAGCTCGGGCAGAGCTCACCACGGCTTCTGGAGGGAGGCTTCAGAGAGGAGTTGGGGCACCCCGGCTCAAATCCCCAGCACCTGTCTGGTTGTGAGAGTCCTTTTTCCATTTATTGTTATCAGTTGCTCAATTAAAAGGGATCCATGTTTCGTGGGGGTTGCTAATTAATAAGTCATGTCATCAGTGTGGTGTGCACTCGATGATTTAATTAGCTAAATTCAGAGCTGAGAATCTGGGGACAGGAGGCAGAGAGCATACTGAAGGGTAAAACTGGAGGGGACAGCATTTCTGGGGCTCAGGTAGCATGTGGGGATCAGTAAACAAACACCTGGAAGATGGATTTATTTTTTACTTTTTGAAAAGTGTACTTTTGTTGTTGTACTGGTGGTTTTTTTTCCAGGAAGGAGCAGGGAAAAGAAATTATTTGCATCAGTTATTGAGTCCATCCCCCTTTACACACGCTGCTGGCCAATAGGTATGTGCTGTTAATAAAATGACAAGGCAAAGTCTTCAGGGAGCCATGCATTTATGCTGTGTAATGGGACAGGCACAGTAGCTACAAGGAATAGCGGACAGGACTGTGATTTCTCTGCTCTAACCTTGTGTGTGGACAGCAAAATGTACCCAGACCCATAAGCCCAGGTGGCTGTCACTCCAGAGTCACTCACCAGCCAGGGGCTGGAAGAGGAGGCTTCAGCCTCTACTTGGGCACAGCCAGTGAGAGAGAGAGCTTCCCAGCCCAACCAAGAGACGCCAAGGGCCGGCAGGGAGACCAGACCCATGTGCCGTCTGATCTGTGTGGCAGGTGATTTGCTCTGGAAATCAAATCAGCACCTCGGAAGCTCATTGCAGGCTGTGCCTCCCGCCCATCAGCAGAAAGCGGTCCACTGCCTCATCCACAGGGGCCCCTCAGTTGCTCAGGGGCAGGGTTCTGGCTGGGCCCCCGCAGGAGCCACTGACGGCTGGGAGAGTTCCAGTGCCTTTTCCAAAGTCATAGCAAAACGACAAAACATCACAATGCATTCAGCTCCAGCAGATTCAAACAGGAAGAACTTTTAAGTTTCCACTGTAATTAACCCTATCCTCGTTAAGATAATTATGATCAAGCTTCCTGTCACAGTTAATATCCCAGCATCATTGCCCGTGGCTCACACTCTGCCCTCATTAGCTTATAAAAACAGCGGCAATAAATAGGCGGCAGGCGCCCTTCCCAAGCTAGGCCACTGGCTGCGAGGGACCTCGGGCAGGGAGTGGGACCCACAAAAGGGCTACCCCTTGAACCCCAATCCCTTTTGCTCCTGTGTGGGCACACACTCGGCGGCCTTCATGCTTTTTCCAAAAGTTAGCCACTTGTCAGAACAGGGAAGGCGAAGGGCCAGGACCAGAGCACGGCCAGTAGATTTGGGGCAGGGGAGCGGCTAATATGTAGCTATTAGCCCTTCCTGTCCTTTACCTGGCAAAAATCCATCCAGGAAAATCACCAGAGGGCACTTCCAGAACCCCTGGTTCAAGATCTGCCAACCTCATCCTGGAGTATAGGCTGTGGTAAGAATTAGATCCTCTGTCCTGAGCTCCCAGCCCTTACCAGGAGCGACACTTCTGCCTGGCGTGAGCTGGGCGGGGACAGGAGACAGCTAACCACGGACCTGAAGAAAGACACGTGTCTGCGGTTGGCCTCAAATCCAGAACCAAAGGTTAGGATATTTTCAAACCACTTAAGAAAATGAGATCTCCACTACGATCCCTCACCTTGTTCCTTCACTATATCTACCTAAGTATCCACAGATACATTTTTAGATATCTTTTTCCTTTATTGATTTTTTTTTTTAGAGAGAGAAGAAGTGAGAGGGAGAGAGATAGAAACATCGATGAGAGAGAACATCAACTGGCCACCTCCTGCACACCCCACACTGGGGATCAGGCCGGCAACCTGGGCACGTGCCCGGACCGGAAATGGAACCGGAGACCTCCTGGTGCATGGGTCGACGCTCAACCGCTGAGCCACACTGGCCGGACTCCACAGATAGATTTTTTAACAGAAAATGGGGAGGCCACAAAAATTCTGGAGGATGTAACCCATATGTCTGATGTCCACAATGGCTAGTCCACAGGGACTTTCTGGCTGATTTCTGTCTGCCCAGCTCCAACAAAACAAGGGATCTCAGTGCAACTTCCATAAGACTTGGAGAATTGGCAAATGTGCAGTGAGGGCTCAGTCCCTCTTTGCCAACTGACTGTCCCTCAGCCATACACCTGCCAGTTGCTGGGAGAAAAGCTGCCAAGAGAATCCCCAGGGCAGGACAAGCGGGCCTCAGGGTGACCGGCCAGGAGCTGCAAAGGCAATCCCTGAATTGCATTCGTTCAGAGGCCGGAATGCCCCCTTCCTTTACCCTGGGGCCAAGTGTCGCAGAACAGGCAGAGGAACATTCAGTGAGCTGCCCTCGGGCACCAGTACCTGTGAGTAAACTCGTTACATATGCATCCTTACCAGTTGGTAAATAGCTGCACCTCTGAGTACCTGGAATGGCCCTCACTATTACCCTGGCCACTCCCCAGAGCCCCGAGGCCTTTCCACAATTCAGCAACTAGGTGGTTAATGCCCCACATGATGGGGGCTCCAGGGACCCTGCTCTAGCCAGGATCTTTCTAATTGGGTAGTGCAGTGGTTAAA